TTAATTTTATTCCCTTAAAAGAATCACTTGGTTTGTCGAGATGAAACGATCGCTTTTATTTTTGAAGAATCGAAGAAAAAAAAATCACTAAATCAATTAATATCTTATAAATATTATTATATGAATTGACAATATCACGATTTTCGAAACTTTTTTGGGTGGTGATTTTACCCCGGTCGGCATGGACTAGGAAAACCCCCCTTCGACTGATAATTTGAGTTTTGAGAAGCAATTGAAGTTTGTGTTACACAGCTTTTCCCGATTTATTTTTAGATTAATTACATCACAAAAGCTTTGTGATATTAAAAAATATATATCGTTAATTGGTTAATCACTTCAAATTTAATTTGATTGGACAATTTTTCTATTTTAATCTATTTTTAGAACATCGCATTTTTTTAATGAAGTTTTTTCAAATCAATAATTTACTAATTTAATGTAGAATAAAAGTGCAATTTTATATAGCTAAGAACCAATACTTTAATTTGAATCGAAAATCTTAAAATCGTTTTCCTAGTCCATGCCCCATATGCGCATAAACATGGATTTTATCGCATAGATATGCGATAGCATATTTGGTATATCAGGGTAGATTTCACATAATTCGGGGCATAATTCGTAAAATTTTTAGCGAATTTAGGCAAAATTATAAATGATTGAGAAACCGGGGATCCGATATAGACAATCAGTGAACCTAAATCACGAGTGTGTTCCTCACTTCTTTCTAGTCACTGGTGAAGCTTTTTTTTTGTATAACGGAAGAGCTTTTATTAGCAAAACTTTGTACTAGATTGAATGATTTAACGTCTCATTCGATATGGTGGGACCCTAAATATTAATAAATCGGAAAATTTCGAGCATCGCTAATTTATAATGTATTTTATTTATTGTATTTTATTTATTTTATTTTATTTTATTTTATTTTTTTTTTTTAAATTATAAAGTTTCTATTAAAAATCAAAATCAGATTGTTAATTCTGGGTATCTTACATATTTTACAAAATATCAAACCAGAATATTAATTATAATTTGGTTTCTTATGTAATCGACACTTAGTGAATACATATTCGATTAAAAAAAAACTTGCTGATCGATGCTCGGTAATTTTGTAATTTACAAATCACGGGTAATTCTTATCAATTAACAACTATATACGAAGTTAATCAACAATATTGTACTATATGAAGGATCGGGTTGTTTGCTAAGGATTTTGAACTATTAGGCACTTTTGTTCGAATTTCATTATTTACAACTCGAATCTTATTTTGGTGTTAAAAACTTTCAATCTATAGTTATTTTACACATATTCAATATAACTATTATGCCTACTGTAACACATCACTTTGTTCAATAGATCCTGCTTAGTCGCCAAATCCATCTTAAATTCTTAGTTTGAAAACAAAGATAACGAAGTTTTAATAATTTATAGCATTGATTTAACAAATTTTATTGATTTTTTGAATTTTACACTATTGACTGAGAATGGACATATACATAGATTTTGTTATTATACGAGTGAAGTAGAAATCCTGATTTCCCAACCCAAACCATGTAGTAATGTCAATTCAAAAAGAGGTTTGGATTGCAACCTTACATCTTCATCGCTAAAATTACAAATGAATAAATATAAGTACGAATCCACTTTGAAGAGCTAATATAAAAAAACATACCATATCAACCAACGCGACTTCCATCAATAAACGTAATGGGTTTTCTTTATAAACCTCTTCATTTTTTTCTAATCTTTCTTCAATCTCAAATATTTCATCGGAAAAAGTTGATTCAGAATTAGGTTTCTCTGAATGGCTGCTCATATCGGCAACATGGGTCATACAATGTGAAATGGTCTCAAAACCCTCAGTTGCATTTACGTCTATTTTGATTGCTTCATCTTGACGTGTTCTTTTTACACGAGGTTGATCTATCGATTCTTTATTGGTGTTACCAGATACAAGGAAAGAATTAAAATCCTTTAATTCAACACTTTCACGCGCCCTTTTGGGGCTTATTGGTTCATCAAATGTCACACCACTTTCATTTGTAACTTGAAAAGTTGGTGAACCTTCCATGACCATTTGCTGAACATCTCTATCAGCTGGTCTTTCATCATTATGCCGACCATCTATTAAAATTTTCTGTTCATCTTTTTTTAAAAGTGATCTTTCATCGTCATGTGAATCAGAACAAATATCTTCATCATCCTTAACATCATCGTTCATGTCATCTTCAAATTGGTCTTTTTTTTCAGCTTCTTTTTCTTTTTGTAAACTGTCAATTATTTGTTCAATATAATTAAGCTTGACACCATGCTTAGGTAATTTATGCAATGTGTCATTGAGGTAGAATTCTGGATCACATTCGATGTGTATTTTTTTTTGTGGAGAGTATTCGACGGCTGTATTGTCGTTGAAAGGCAAATTATTATCTGAACATAACCTTCGTAATGGCGGCTATTTGAGAGAAGAAGAGAAGGAAGTTATATAAATTCAACCGCTTAAATTTACTTATGTCAACCATTACTTACCAACGCATGATCTACATGGCATGGACACATCCATTTTTTGTTCGCCGGTATAGGAATTACTAATGGGAGATCCAAGCAATCGAAATGCCAATGAAGATCACAAAAATCACAAGACATTATTGGTTTCGATTTGCTTGGAGGAAGCTTGCACTTAAAACACCGTATAAGTTTTCCATTGTCATCTATCATACGATGATGATCTGGTTCAAGTGTGAACCCATTCCGACTTTGATAAATTTAGAAATACAACTTATTAATGATGGAAGAGAATTGTCAATGAAAGTGTTTTTGATCATTAAATGAGCGCATTACTCTTTTTGTTCGAACTTGACTTTGTTTGTATCTACATATTCGCCATGAGGGCCTGTACCGACTATTTCATAAAGAAAAAAGAATAATATCAATTATTTCATAATTGGCGATAATTTGAACGATTAAAATCGAACGAACCATCTTCAAATGCGTTTCTAACGTGTTCCGGCAACAAATAAGATTTTGGATTAGAGCAACGGGCTTTGTATATCAGCTCTTGGAAAGGGCCTTGTGCTGGCATCGACGGTGAAGCCTACAAAAATTAACGTGAAAAAAATGATTATACCGATGGAAGAGTTCAATTGATGAAATAAAAACCACAACACGGGATCAATAGTTATGCATTTAATACAAACCTTATCACTCTTACATTCACGACAATACCAATTTCCTTTTGGCGGATTATCAACGTCAAGAGGAGGTACCAGACATGTAAAATGAAAAGCTTTTGGACAAGAGTCACAGCACATTAAACGACCACCATAACCACACGCATCGCATTGATCATGATTATTCTACAAGTTATACAATTAATTAATGTTCCCTCATTTATTTTAGCTTTTACCCTTACACCCAAAGACACATAGTATTATCGTGCACTGTAAACTTCATTTTATACCTGCGTATAATTATTTGCACCAACAGCAGCTAACGCGCCCCTTGTATGAATGATATGTCTCGGAGAATTCGTAGGAGAATTTGGAGAAGGGAAGACACTACTATAACACAAAACTTTATGAAATCCTTCAGGATAGTCTTTCAACGGTGAGGAAACTTACCCCATTTTAATTGTTCACTTTTAGATCTTACTTTAGCAACTCGCGTTTTTAAAACTCAGAATATTATAACAAAGAGACACCAAATATATCATTCAAGAAAAAATTTTAGCGAGTGGAAATATCAAGAATGATAACTTTCAAGTTCGATAAAATCTGGCCAGGGTTAAAAAGGTTATCATCGGTTAACGCACGTGATGTAATGCGACAAATCTTTATCGTAAGACCAATTTAACGTTAAACTGAAAACATGAATTTTGAGAAGCAATTTGCACAGTAGCTTTATACGTATTTAATATAGAAATATAATAAATTGTTGGAATTAATTTGCTCGTCGAAATTCGTCAAAATTCATCGAGAATTTGACAAGAAATGATAAACTTTTCTAGGAAAATATTGATAGAGTTCCATTATTTTAACCACCAGAAAAATGTATAGGGATAATAAACCTTTCTATTTTTCATTAAAAATAAATAAAAAGCCTACTATTACAAACAGAAAGAAAAAAATAAAATGTACATTCTTTTCAAAAGAACATTACAACATGGCGTAGAGATATTTTTTAAATATGAAATAAAATAAACGAAACCGCAACAAAGCAAGAGACGTTTCTTCTTAAAACATTGCTATTTCTAAGAATATTTTGAATCGTGTTACAATCTATGGCCAGGAACCGCAACAAAAATTGCAGTAAGAACAATTGAAATAATTAAACTTTTCAAAAATATCTCTATTCCTTTTTTTATATGTAATTTGTATATGTATGGTTCCATTACCCGTTGAAATCTAGCAAATTTTGTTTCGCTAATAACATTTTAAACAAAATAAATGATTATTCATAAATTAATAAAACCATTTAATTGAATAAACATATATTACCTTATTTTCAACAAAACAAATAGAGGACTAAGTTCCCTTTGATTGGCAAATAAATTGGTTACACCCATAAGAATAGGAATTAAACACTACAAAATAGTTTAATTACGATAAGAAAGAAGAATCTTATAAAACCATTTACATAAATATTTAAGCATACCCATATCCTAACAGCCCTTGGTTTAACATCTAAGAAAATCAAACTTAATGCTGTGGCAAATCCGATGAATAAAAAGAATAATCCGAGAACTAATCTTAACATGGTTTGCAAGATGTTCATATTGCCAAACGCTCTTGCCTCCAAAAACCTAGGAAAATGCTCTCTTTGCATGAATTCGAAAACCTCCCTTTTTGCCTCATAAAAAATCCATGGATCAGCTCTTTTGTTTAGAGTGCCACTTTCTTCTTCCATAATAAGTTTTATTTTTTCACGAGTATGATCTGACAACTCAATCTCTTTTTCAGATTCATCGCTAATATATTTGTAATAAATACGTTCCGCAGATATGCGAAGGTCATCTTTTGTAAATGGACGTTCCCGTCCATAAAAAGAAAGATTGCCTGTGGTAGTATTAGTCTTGTTTGATCGAACTGAATCTCTATGTCTCGTAAATCGTGACGCTTTACTCGCAGTCGCTATATCGATTATGTGTTGGCCTGAATATGGTGAATCAGGACGTGAAGGGGTATCAAAAACGCCACCGGTGCTATTTGTGACATTTGACTCACGTGATGAAGCGCTCAATTGTCTTTGAACACCCCCATCATTACTCGTAGCTACGCTAAGTCTACTCAATTTACCTTTTTCCGGTGCTATCCCAGCAGGTCGATACCTTTCATACTCTGGATACTCAATGTTGAGATCCAATCCAAGTTTTTTTATGTCTTTTACGAATGCTTTGCATATATTTTCATGTTCTAACACATCAAGATAAAAATCTAGATATTCTGATGCCTGCTCTCTATCTCTCATGTAAAGATAAAAGTTGTAAAGACATACAGGAGGCGCCGTTTTACGACTAAGGACTTCCTGTAACGTAGGAAGTTTGTTCCGGTCATACGTTGGATACGTGGTTCTTGCAAGACGTTGTCCTTTTTCAGAACCAGAAATAGTATGGTCTTTGCTCATTATGGTTTCTTAGATGCAAGAGAGTGGCTCAACTTGAATCTATATAGCGATAAGTGGTATTATTGGCTGTTAATGGAGTACTGAAGTACTGGAGGACAAGGTAAGACAAATATTGTTAACAGCGCTGAAGCTTGCTGTTAAACTACTGATAATGAACTTTCCAGGCACTTTTTAAATGTATGACCCCGAGGAAATTGGCAAAGTCGTAACTATTTCAAAAGAGTATTTTTCCAATTGACATTTCCTCGAAATATCATAGTTAAGTGAAGAAATTCTATAAATAATCAGGTCTCTTACTCTTATTGTAATCTTGTAACCTACCTGCTATTTATGTATGCAAACTTTGCCGTGATGATCCGTATTAAGTAGTAATATCTATCGATATCAATATCGATACATCTTTACGGATATTTCATAGTGCTCTTGCTTGTAACTTGAATTAGTACCGATGCAGTATTTATTAAATATCGACATTCAAAGCTTACATTGTTTCCGATATCGATATTGTTTATAGGTAAATAGTTTTTCCATCGTATTTAACTGATTTATCTATACACTGTATATACTGTATATTTAGTTGGACAAAAATGGTTGGATAAAAAATAGATTTTGTTCGATATACCGATACAGTTAGTTTTACTGATTACCCTTGGTGTTACGTATCAATTAACACCGCTATAATACGTAGGCACCTCTTTACACTTGATTTTACCGGTTTAACAGACTAAATTTGAAGTATCGATTTAGTAATAATAAAAAAGCCCACTTGCTTATTTTATTCTATATTAAGGGTAGGGGGTATGTAGATCATTTGTCATATGATTTTCGTGGTACAATAAGATTTATATAGAAAATAAAAATGTGCTACTAGTA